ACATGACATTATTTCGATTAAAGTCATGGTTGTATTGAGAATCCTGCTGGTTTATTTTTCTTGGGGAACGCGTGCCTCAGAAGTCATGGTTTGGAAGGTTTTTTGAGGACAGTGGTTCCACATCTGCAGGGCAGAGCTTGGTCCTTCCGGGAGAACAGGCTGCCACTGAGACGCTCCTGCCTGGAGGCCTCTGGTGCAGAATACTTGAATCTTTGTACCAGGCTTCATTTTGCTCAGAAACTACTTAGAATTATTCATTGGGCCCTTTTGGTTTTACCAGGTTCTTCAGAGGCATTTCTGGGTGATGATGTTGATAAAGCTGATGGCACTTTGCATCTGTTGAGCACCATGAACTTTGCCAAGTGCTTTCCTACTCATGATCTCATTTAATTGTCACTGGGAACTGTAAGGTTGGAAGCACAGATCTGATTCCCATCTTGTTGTGGATGAAGAATTTAGAGGGTTTAAATGACTTGCTTGATGTCTCCTGGTAAATGTTGATCTTCTGCTGCCGGAGTTTCAGTGTGTAAGCCAAGCTGAGGAAGAATGGCTGAACAGTGCTTCTGGCCCAGGAACCATGTCATAGTTGTCAGTGTCCATCGTGGGTGTAGTTCAGGGGTTTTCAGTTGGGTGATTTTGCCCTTGGGGGACACTGACGACGTTATCAGAACCTGGGGTGTGTCACTGGCATCTAGTGGGCAGAGCCCAGGGTGCTGCTAAACACCCTGCAGTGCATGGGGAGGCCCACAACAGAGCTGAGCAGCCCCAAAAATCAGTGCTGGGGTGGAGGACCCCTGGTGTGGCTGAAAACGAGAGCCTTGCCTGCAGCCCCCAAAGCCTGTCTCTTGCTTTCTCAAGCTTATCTGTGTGTTCGCCTTTGAACATTTCTTCCTTCGGATTGTTGGTGGTAGAAACGATTCTTTGGGATCTCGACGGAGGCACATTTCAGGGCCCTCTCCTGGCGCCCATGTTGACTGTCTGTTGTCCTGCCTTGCCAGTGCAGTGCTGCAGGGGCGTGGTGTGAGTGCGGCCCACATTATGGGCACCAGAAGACTGAGACCCGGCCTTTACTCTGTCCCCTTTTTCTTTACTTTTTTTTTTAAAAAATTCTGGAATACATGTGCAGAACGTGCAGGTTTGTTACATAGGTATACACGTGCCATGGTGGTTTGCTGCACCCATCAGCCTGTCATCTACATTAGGTATTTCTCCTAATGCTATCCCTCCCCTAGCTCCCCACCCCCCGACAGGCCCCAGTGTGTGATGTTCCCCTCCCTGTGTCCATGTGTTCCTGTCCCCGCCCCTCCTCCACTTCCTCCCATTTCCATGGGAAGGAGGGGAAAGCTGCCATCCTTCGTGGTTAGCGTTGGGTGTTGGGGTCCTCCTCTGTTAGTGGCTGGTGCATACGGCGCACAGGAAGAGAGCCCCAGGGATGCCAGGCAGGGGTGAGCTGCTGCCTGTGTCTAGCGGGCTCCATGCAGTCCCCTGGGCCAACCTTCAGTGGCTGGAATGGTTGCACACCTGAAACTGCCTTTGCAAAATGATGACTGAGACAGTGAAAGAGATCGAACTTAACTGATTCCATCTTGCTTCTAACCTCCAAGCTGTCCTTGTTCATTTCTGGGCATAGGCTGACCTAACTTTGGGAGAAACTTATAGTTTAAACAAAGACGGTAGCAGCCCTTTGCCAAAGCAGACCGCCTTCTTGCCTGGGTACCAGACTGCTTTTGTAGGACTAACATTAGCCACAAGATTGGAAATTATGGTTTAGGAGTCATGCAACTGGGGGCTACAAGTTTCTGACCCACTCTAAACTGCTCCAAAGATCAGTTCCTGAGATATTTTGCAGGCCCTGCACTTGATGGATCAGCTGGTCCCACTCAGATCAATAAACTGGTTCATCTGATCTTGTGGCCCCGCCACCCCCCACCCCGCCCAGGAACTGACTGAGCGCAAGAAGACAGCTTTGGCTCCCTATGATTTCGTCTCTGATCAGTCAGCACTTCTTGCTCACTGGCTTCCCCTCACCCCCCAAATTATCCTTAAAAACTCTGCTCCTCGAATGCTGAATGCTGGGGGAGACTGATTTCTGTAATAATAAAACTCCAGTCTCCTGCACAGCCGGCTCTGCGTGAATTACTCTTTCTCAATTGCAGTTCCCCTGTCTTGATGAATCGCCTCTGTCTAGGCAGCGGGCAAGGTGAACCCATTGGGTGGTGACGCACCCAATGAGGTTGAAAAGCAGGTTCCACCCAGAGTGGAGCTTTTCCTGACGTGATATCCCACCCCCTGATTGTTGATGCTGGTGTGTGAGTCACAGGCCCAGCCCAGTGTTTGAGACGCAGTGACCTCAATAAGGACTTGAGCTGGTTTCCTGAGTGCCCTCTGGTAAGCCTTTTGTCTGGGTAGCCTTGCCACCCAGCGCGTCTGCTACCAGGAATGAGCTGGAGGGAAACGGGAAGGCTGTGTTTTTTTCTCCATCTTCCTCTCCAGGAAGGAGGTGGCCTTGGTCCTGAGGCGGGGTTTGCTCTGGGTGGAGAGCTTCTGGATGTTCTGTTGTTGCTTGCACGTCCTGGGAAGGATCAGGGCGACACAGAAAACTTGGTTGAGGTGTCCTGCTAGGCCTCCTTGAAAGGAGAAGGTCGCCAGGTGAAGGTTATTTTGTTTGCTTGGCAGGTAGTGACATTGGTGGTCAGACTGAGAGCAGCAGCGACCTGAGGAGGGCAGAGGTTTGGAGTGCAGATGGACGAGGAGGTGGTCACTTGTGCCTCGCTGCTCCAGGAAGCTGCCTGGTGACCCTCAGTTCCCTAAGTCAGCAAAAGATTGTTTCCCAGGGTGTCATATTGCACAGCTGGCTGCATTGGGAGAAGAGGCAGGGAGATTACCTCCTTGCTGGGAGCAGACTTAATGCCCAGAAAATAGAAGGGATGGGAGCCAGTGAAACCAGTTAAACAGCAGCTGTTAAAAAGGGAGTGGGAGTAGAAATGTCAAAGTTCCCAGGTCTCTTAGAGAAAAGCCATTTAGATTTCCCGTGCCATCTAGAAAGATACTGGTGTTTTCCTGGAAGAGCTTACTGTGGCATGCCCATTCCCCGGGAGCAAGGATTGTAGTAGCCTGCAGGTGAGCGTGTGTGTGAGGTGAAGGTGTGCTGAAGGACACTCTTGATGATGGAAGCTTCCCTGAAATCAGAGCCTGGGATCACCAAGCCTCCTCAAGGCAGGTGCCCATGACTGGGTGGTTATTGAATGAGCAACACGCCTGTCCCTCTGAGTTGGGTGTCAGACACATCATTTGAGGCTTCCGCGCTTGTCCAGTCAAGACTGAAGTTGTCTTTATTATCTTAGTAGTCAAGGGCTTTTAAAAGCTTGAAAAGCATTCAACATACATTAAACCTTGGGCTGTTTATTTGGAGTCTCATCGAATCAACTCCAGATGGCAGGATTTAGTTTGAATGTTGAGAGGAATGCATTTTATAAACGCAGTGCATCTTGCCATTAGCGCCTCCCAGAGTCAACATGAGTTACCCTTCCTTGGTCACAGGGTCCACAGTTAACATTTGCTGAACTCAAGCACACCAGCACTGTCCCTGGGCACTTGAGTTTGCTGTTAAGTGGAAAATGCAGAGAAATAAACCTGAAATGAAAATCAGAGCAATAGATAATAAAAGTAAAGTTTGCCTGGGGCGTGGGGAGGGGAAGACAAGTGAAGCCTTTTCCTGATTTGCGGAACCTCCAAAAGTAAAAATGCCGGGGAAGTTGGGATGCGTTCTCCAAAGGTGAGTTCATTTGGAGTCAGCGCAGTGAGACCTGCAGTGGGGCAAGCTGAGGGGTCTTCCTTGAGGGGTCTTCCTTGGGTGTTCTAAGAGCCAGACGCAGTGCTATCCCAAAGGGACCAGAGAACTTCAGAAAAGTTTCTTCTTTTCTTTTTCTCCATGCTGGCAAAACCCACCATTGAGCTTTTGAGTCAGCAGCGAAGCAGGCTGATGTCTGAACCCCGTGAACCCACTGTGAACCCGCACTCTGGCGGTGGCGTCCCGTGCCAGCCGTGGGTTCTTGGCTGCTCGCCATGGCCAGGCTCTTGGCCAAGGCCTCGTGTGGAAGCTCAGGAGACAGCTGCCCAGGCCCCTAGGTTGTGAAGTGGGAGTCGGGATCCAGACCCTGCCCAGGCTGCCCCGTGCCCTGCACTGCCTGCCTCCCCCAGGAGGGTGGGCAGGTTTGCAGGCTTGTTTTCCAGGGAGTAGCACTTTGGGATTTGTGTTTTTAAAGAGAACTCTGCAAGTCAGGAGGGCTGAGCAGCTTCAAGAGAGACCACAGGGAAGGTAGGCGCAGAGCTGGGGACCGTGAGAGCCAGGGCCTTGAGAAGACACAGACACGCATGTTAGGACGGGCCTGCTTTTCTGGAAAGCTCCCTGAGCGGGGAGAGTGGCAGCATCGGGAGGTGCTAGAATTGGCTGCCCTTCTACCAAACAGGCAAGCGAGTCGGAAGCCACGCTAGGCGGTCCCTCCGCTCACAGGGACCTGGAGACACACAGTGGGGGACAGGGGTGCAGGGGAGGCTCAGTGCCGCAGGAGGGAGGAAGAGGAGAGGGTCTCGCCTTGGCACTGCTCTCCCGATGTGTGTGACACTGCTGCCTCAAGTGGCTGCAGGTTCTCAGGTCTCGCTGTGCCTGAGGATCCCCCCAGTGAAGTGGCCTGAAAATGGAAATACCTGGTCCTCCTTCCGAGATCCTGGGGCGGTGGGTGGAACGCACTCGCGGGAGCCTTGGAGTCAGGTGCGGGCCCCCGAGCACACCCCATGGCTCCCTTCCAGATCATGGTGGGGGTTTCCCTGTGCTCTGGGGGCCCCTGCACAGTTCTCACTTTGACATACTTCCCTTGCTGGTACATGTTTGTAAAACTTTCTAGCTCCAGTATAATACTGAAAAATACCCTTTGATTATTAAAAAAAAAAAATTCCTGGATTCATTTTGAAAATGATTCTCTTCTTTTTTTGTTTTATAGGATACAAAATTATGGATAATAATGGAATATCTTGGTGGAGGCTCTGCACTAGATCTAGTAAGTATTATGCTGGATACAGAAGATACATATTGAGCCTTTTTCTCAGGAAACCTGGGTTTTAAAGAATCCGTTGCATGTATCCATTTCTTTTTCTTTCTTTCAAGTTGCATTAAAAAAGGAACCAAACTATTCATTCCTTCAGTGTTTTTGCTTTTTAAATATCACTAAAAATTATCGGTCTACTTTATTTTTTATTTTTTATTTTTTTTGAGATAGAGCCTTGCCCTGTTACCCAGGCTGGATTGCAGTGGCACAATCTCAGCTCGCTGCTACCGCCACCTCCTGGGTGCAAGTGATTCTTGTGCCTCAGCCTCCCAAGTAACTGGGTCTACAGGTGCATGCCACCACACCTGGCCAATTTTGTGGTTTTGTTATTTTATTTGATTTTACTTTTTTATTTTATTTTATTTTATTTTATTTTATTTTTTGGTAGAAATAGGGTTTTGCCATGGTGGCCAGGCTGGTCTTGAACTCCTGACCTCAAGTGATCCCCTTGTCTTGGTCTCCCAAAGTGAACCACTACACCCAGCCTATCCGTCTAGTTTTGAAACCAGCTGTTTTGTTTCATGGAAAATCAGTCCATTCATAGAAGGAAGCAAGGAAGGATCATGCCTGGAATTATCTCACCTAAGAACAGTTTGGTAGCTTATTTTCCAAAACAGGTTCTATTTACTTTTGTAGGGCTGTTATCTCACCATTGTTTGATATTTCACATGACAACTTAGTTTTCAAAATAAGCGTATAGTATTTTCATTTTGGAAGTAAGGAACGGTGTGATTATGGAGGTCGGATGTTGGATGTGGGAGCAGTGGCCGTGCCAAGGGGAACACACACTTCCCCGCTCCCAGGGCATGGAGGTGGGGCTGGCCTGCACCAGTGATGTCTCCTCTGAACTCTCCCAAGTGCCTTCTGTGGCCTCCAGTCCACAGGTAAGGTAGTGGAAGCCAGGCGGAGGGTGGCTGTACCGTCCTGGTCTGTGATTTGCTTGTGTAAAACATGGCTTCCTATTGGGTTTCGATGCAGTACTCACAGATAACCGGCATATGTCATGAGCACAGCTGAAGTCATCCTTGAAGCACAGTAAATGCAAACGAATTTGCACAGCTGTTTAGCACTTGCTGTCTCATCCCTGCTGTGGTTATGCAGCGAAGACGCTGTGATCACTCTTGCCCCACCCCTCCTGTAAGTGCAGGGCATTTAGGTGAGTGGTGATTTTCAAGATAGGCCAGATCTGTCATTGCAGTGTTAGAGGTTGGGTCCTGGATGATAGACAGCCATCAGGAGGACAGGGCTGTGGTTTCCACTGCAGTTGCAGGGAGAGCTGAAGGAAGCTGCGTTTTTTTTAGTGTAGTCTACACAGATGTGATTCATTAAGGAAAGAACACCCCTGTGAGAGGAAACTTCTTAGGCCTGGTACAGCGGCTCACGCTTACAGCCTCTTCACTTTTGGGAGGCTGAGGTGGGAGGATCACTTGAGCCCAGAAGTTCAGGACTGGCCTGGGACATATAGCAAAATCCCATCTCTACAAAAAATTTAATTCTAAAATAAAGAAGATGAAACTTCTTTCTCACAGTAATAGTAGCAATTGATAGTTTTTTTGGGGACGATAAACTTCTGAAACTGTGTATCTCCAGAATGCTAATGTACCCAATTTACATAATCAAATACTGTTATAAACCATAAAAATAATCGATAAAAATGGTATTAAAAAGGGAGATTTCAAGAAAAATTAATATGGTATAAAAATTATATTAAAAAGGGAAAAACAGCAATGTAGCGGGATTAGTTTTACAACTTATTTTGGTTCCTTTGCATAAATATTCACATTACATAAAGAGCTTTTCATTTTTTTACTCTCTGGAAATACTACAGAAATGTGGAAAATTACCTCGTTTTATGTAATTAGATTTACTATTATCTTAAGTGAATTTCATTTGTAGCATATACGAAGTTGTTTACAGGGACTCTTTTTCCAACATTAAGTCCTTCAGAAGAGCAATTCCAGTAATGCTTTAGCGTGTTCATTTTTAATGGTGTAATAATTTTATTTGATGATAACCTTCGAATTTCTTTGAATTGCAGTCGGTGAAGTTTTAGACATTACAGTTGGAAGGAGGGGGTAAAACTCTCCACTTAAAAATCCCAGATGGTATGAGACTTCCAGCAAACCATATTCGCTTCTGCTTCAGGAGTGCTGGTGACAAGGGACAGACATTCCTTTTTGAATGTCCTTAATCGTCTCATTTAATTGGTGCCGGAATGGAGACCCTCAGGGTTGAGGGGTCCCAGCTAGCAGGTAGCGCTGGGCCTTGACCCTTGCTCTGCCAGCTCAGAGCCTGTGGCCTCCCTTGACCCCACAGTGTCCTCTACCCACCTCTGATGTTGTCGTCTTTCTCCATTTTTACCCTTTTCTGTTGGCCTGCTCTCAGCCCCTCAAAGAGGCCACACTTTCTTGGGAAAGGGTGTTTTGGAGGTAGGCTGGGAGCTGTTGCAGTCTTTGCTGCTTTCCCACATCCACACCACCGGGCCCTCTCGAGGTGCAGGGGTCTGCTGGAGCTGAGGGGAACTGAAAGTCCATCCGGAATTTTACAGATGCATGGGGCACCCTGGAGAGGGGAAGTGACTTTGCCCCGAGTTAAAGTTTGGGCGGCAGACAACATGGCATATACGTAAATCTCAGGCTCCACATTTTGGAGCGAAGGACGAAGCAGAGAGGCTTTATGACTTGAAGGCTGGGATGAGCCCAGGTCTGCTTGGGCGGCTTGCTGAGACGTCACCCGTGGACGTCTGCTGTCGGGCATGGGCATCCCTCAGCTGGCAGGGGATGCGTCCTTTAGCAGCTACCTTTTCTGTTCTCCGGGTGCTTTTTAGCTTTTAAAAAATGCAAATTTGGGATCTCATGTGGAGAACAGAGACAGTATTATTAAGAGCCATGAATATAAAATAGGTACACATTTTATTTTGAATGTACATATTTGAGTGTGCTCAGTCTGTTGATTAAAAAAAATTTAAAATAAAATGGTAAATGGAAATTAGTGTTTATATGATCCTAAGGCCACCGGGCTCTTGGAATATAACTTGAAAACTACTTATGTCAGTCATCTCTCTAGTTCCAGCCGCCTTGGCTGTAGGGTGCCCTGACTTAGAAGAGCGTAAGTAGTATCACACAGTCCAAGACACCCTAACTTACAGTGCTGTCCATCTTTGTAGCCTAGTGAGGGAAATCATTTTTCATTCGGCATGGACTCGTGTGCCTCCTGTGTCTCAGCAGCTGCTCTGGCCGTTGGGGGTTATTGCGGTGGACACAGCAGCGTAAAAAGTCTTGTTCTGTTGGTGAGGTTGGTCAGTTACACCGTTTGTTAGAAGGTTCCTTCCTACAAGGAAAACAGTGCAGGCAGGGGAGGTGAATGGGGGAGCTGGAGTGAGGATGAGCCACAGAGGGCCTGAGACCAGGAGGTTTTCGCTGGTTAAAAGATAAGCTAGCGTTGCCAGAGAATCCGAGGGACAACCTTGGAATCTAATTACAAAGGGACTGTGCTGCATAAACCAGTCACTTAGGCAGAGGTGTTTGACAGACTTAAAAAATGAGTCCACAGCATGGGTTTTAAGAAATGAGATGGCATATTCATTAATGTTTAGGCCAAGCTGCCATCCTAGTAGCTCTAACACAGTGTCTCACGAAAGATAGAAATTCATTTCTCCCCTACACGTGGGGCCAGTGGCTCTGGCCCACACTGTCACGGTCTGTGCTGGTGGGTGGCTCCACCATCTGGAGCCCCAGGCTTCCCTTGGTCTTCAGCCATTGTCCTCTCTCACTGCCAGTGCTTCAGGGCCAAGACCAAGCAGGGACACGGGGCACGTTTGCTCCTGTCTGTCCCGCTGGCAAGGTCTTAGTTGTGTGACCACAGGCTGCTGCTTAGAGTCTGGGAAATGTGGTCTCTTGTCGTGGCTGTGTGCCCAGCTGATAGTCCCTATTACAGAGCTTCGAAGCAGGGGAGGACAGACACGGGGAGGGGGAGTTAGAGTCACCCAGTGGTGGGATGTGGTCTAGGTTTTTTTCCTGGGTCCTATTTGAGGAGTCTGCAAGTGCCTGAATGAGGGAGAGCATGGTCACGATGGTGAACGCCAGCCAATGACTTGGAGAGCTTGGCCTGGTCTGAGCTGCTCATGAGGCACTCTGGGGTAGACAACAGCTAAATACCCTTTATAGTGGATTTTGACGCAGGAAGGATTTCTCCCCAAATAAGGGAGAGTTTTATATCTTTTTCTCCTCTTCCTCCTCTTTCCCCATGGGCATGTCAGTCAGTGTTGGATGGTGTTCAGGGCAGATTTAAAAGGGCAGAACCATGCAGATAGTCATCACAGAGCCAGCCCTTAATTATCCAGGGGAGGATTTTCCATGAGTGTTCCTCATCTCTTCTTCTTAGCGCCCTTTGGGGATGACAGCCGGCCGCTCTGCCATTGCTTTTGGGAGACTTGGTAATGGAAGGGAGGGTGGTTAAGTCCAGGTCTAGCCACAGGTTATTGATCGTTGGCTTGTGCATAGACTTGGTGAAGAAGGAGATGGGAGTTGGGACCCAACTCTAGTGTGACTTTTTTTTTTTTTGGTTTTTTGTTTTTTTTGAGACGGGATCTTGCTCTGTCGCCCTGGCTGGAGTGCAGTGGTGTGATCTTGGCTCATTGCAACCTCCGCCTCCTGGGTTCAAGCGATTCTCCTGCCTGATCCTCCCAAGTAGCTGGGATTACAAGCATGTGCCACCAAGCCCGGCTAATTTTTCTGTATTTTTAGTAGAGATGGGGTTTCACCATGTTGGCTAGGCTGGTCTCGAACTCCCGACCTCAGGTGATCCACCCTCCTCGGCCTCCCAGAGTGCTGGGATTACAGGCGTGAGCCAGCGCACCTGGCCTCTCACATGACTTTGATCTTTGGTCGAGTGGATTCTCCTGCACTTCAGGGTTGGGAACAAAAGCAAACACTCTGACATCTTATCCTCCTCCCCACGTTCCACCCAGGTGATGAGAAGAGTCTGTGTTCCTCATTTTGAAAATCAAAATTTCTCCATTCTACGAACACCGAAAAATAGATGTGGAGAAAACAGACTTACCACAAAGCAGGGTTTTCCAGATGGTGTTCTTTAGAAGAGTAGTTTCGATATGCATTTCTTGTAAAAAAGACTTTTGGTCAGTTAACTGGGAAAAACTATGTTCTGGGGAGCAGAGTCTGTGCCATAATGTCTTAGTCTGAGGTAACTTTTGGACAATATCTTAATTGGAATTTGGGACAGTTCCTGGCAGGCGATGGACACGGGCATTTTGACCTTCTCCGAGCATATGCGTGAGGTCAAATTAAAAGCGACAAGTGCATTCTCTGCGCCTGGGTCCTGAGTGGAGAAGGCCGGGGTGGCTGGATTCCAGCTGGGTCTACTGCCAGGCAGGCCAGAGTCGCATCGAGGCCAGTGTGTGGGGAGAGGCCACCTCTGAGAGTGGCCCTGACCCTGGGATTGCTGTGTAGACCGGGGCGGGCCTGCAAGCCAAGGCAGCACAGCTCACCCATGAGCCGGAAAGCAGCGCCAGGTATGAGTCAGGCTGTGGTTTCGGTGACAAGGGCTGTCTCGGTTGCCCCCATCCTGCGCCCCACAAGCCCTTCCGGATGTTGAACAGGACGTCCCGGTGAAGGAGCTGAGACATGCAAGGGGGACTATCGGGGTCTGTCCCTGATAGTCTGAGTCTGTCCCTGCACGCCTGAGTCAGACGCTTCCCGCAGAGGAGCACCCTAGTTTTCATCCCCTTTGGCTTAAAGCACATAACTTATCTTTTTAAAACTAAGTGAAAGGCCCCAGATTGTGTCTTCCCGTTGGCTAAAATGTGTGGGTGTGGGCTTTGAAGACATTCACTGTCACGCCTGAAAACCAAGAATGGGGGACCATGATTCGGAGGAACCTGCCTGTATTGATGAGACATCTGCCCTCTGTCCGGCTCCGTTTCTGTGGTTCCGGGGAGCATTGGTGGCTTTGCTGCTGTCGTCCGTGGAATTACTGTTTTTGACTGACTGCCCCACTCTGCAGGGGGCGGGGGCGGGCGGGGCGGGGAGGGCTTCCCATCTGGTTTGAAGTGAGCCTGTTACCCTGGTTTTCCTTTCCTTTTAAATGGAGATGTGGATACCTGACATTTCCTCCTTTCGTCTTGTACAGTTGTGGATATAAAGGAGTCAATAGGAACCATTAGTTTGAGTTTCTGAGAATAAAAGCTTTCAGCGGTAATTATTACCTCAGGGATAATATAATAATTATTTTTATTATATAATATCGATTATATAACAAATCCCAAACTATTAGGATTTAAGCTGTTTCAGCTGCATTCCCCCAAGTTGGGGAGCTTTAACTGCGGATTTAAAAAATTTCTAGTACAAGGTTATCCTCAGAGGCGCCGGGCTCCTAGGCCTTCGTTCCTAGGTGTTTTTGGATCCCAGGGGTGAGCCTTCTGATAAGGGAACCACATATGTTGGGACAGATCCTGGCTGCTCTGTGAGTCTCTGGCTGTTTGTTTCCTGGAGTGAAATCCCCAGCCTGTGCCCCGCCCCTGCCATGGCCGGCGGGGCGCCCTGTGGTCAGCTGCAGGCACAGGCGGGGCCGCGGGCTACAAAGGCTAAAGAACAAAAGGTGGGGAGCCCTCCAGGCCTCGTTGAGGCACAGCACCGCCCCTCACCTTCCCCCTTCCCTTCGAGTCGTAGGCCGACTGTTGATGACCTCGGGTGCCATCCAGAATGGGGTGCCCCACGAAAGTGTTCCTTTTGATCTGGGTGTCCGTCAGCTGGCCGGCCACCGCAAAGTCCGCCAGCTTCACCTCCCCGTGCTCAGACAGCAGGACGTTGGCCCCGCTGCAAAAGCCAAGCAAGGGGCCTGAGCGGCGGGGACTTACACCTCCATGCACTGCCAAAGCGCGTCTTCTCCCCGGGCTAGGTTTAAGCCAATGAGAACAGGCACTGGGGGCTACACTTTTGTCGACTCCCTCAAACGCCCAGCCCAGGCCAGGCAAGGCAAACGTGGCAGGACAAATGGGTGCCGGCACCTTCCCCTTGGAGAAGGCTTCCGGTGGCCACCCCACCACTGCCTTCGGTATTTCAAAGGATGAAAACGGACGTCCTCTTACCTTTAATGTCTCTATGGATTTTCCCTTCTCCGAATGGAGGATAATCAAGTCCTTTCAGTATTCTCTATAAATAGTAGCGATCCTGGGTTTCATCCTAACGGGCTCCAGGTTCTAACTAAGAAAGAGAAAAAAAATTCTTAAAGTTACTTAAATGATATCTTATGAACAGTTTGAGATAAAAACACAAACACTATCTATGTAAATGGACAAGGGTAATTAAAACCTGAAAGTCTTCTTCACTTAAAACACATGATTTTGCC